GGGAATAAGAAAGAGCAGGGATAGACTTTATGATCTATACAGTATAAAATCATTAACTTGTGATCCTAACTTCCATGAATATGTTAGGAAGTTTTCAAAAATCTTTAAAAGGGTCTGTATTATAGCTAAGGCAGACTACTTGAGCAATAAAATAAAATTATCCGCAAACAAAGTTAAAACTACTTGGAAAGTGATAAATAAGGAAACTGGTAAAAATAATGAAAAAAAAGTGGATTTTACATTAAATGTACATGGCAAAGTTATAAAAGAAAATTATAAAGTTGCAAATGAGTTTCTAAATGTTTTCACAAATATACCTTTTGAAACTACTAGGCATTTGCAACACTGTCCCACAGAGGCAGCAACATATCTGGATAAATATGTTAATATTTCCATTCCAGATTTTAAGTTTTGCCACATAGGTCCGAATGATATTATTAAGACTTTTAAAAAATTTAAATAAATAGAAAACTGAAGACCTATGGGGCGTATCAATATGGGCATTAGATCTTATAATCTGTGATATTGCTTGTTTATTAGCCCAAATATTTAATTTATGTTTAGATACTTGCAAATTTCCAAAATTAATGAAATGTAGCAAAATTGTGCCAGTTTATAAATCAGGCTCAAGAGAAAATTCCTCTAATTACCGACCCATTTCTATCTTACCAGCCTTAAGTAAAATATTTGAGAAAATCATGCTGGATCAGATGCTATTTCACTTTAATAAAAATGAAATCTTGAACCAGCATCAGTTCGGATTTACGAAAGGTAGATCTACAACTGATGCTGGAGTAGAATTAATTTCGCATATCCTGCAGTCTTGGGAAACGTTCCATGACACCATTGGTGTGTTCTGTGACCTCTCCAAGGCATTTGACTGTGTAGATCATAAGATTCTTATTAAGAAATTGGAATATTATGGTATTCGAAAATCTGCCATTAATTTTGTTTCCTCATATCTTAGCGATCGGGAACAAAAAGTAATTATAAATGGTGTACTGTCATCGGGATCAATAGTACAAATGGGTGTTCCTCAGGGATCGATCCTGGGCCCATTCCTGTTTTTAGTCTACATAAATGATTTGCCATATGTGGTAGAAAAAAGGTCTCAAATCGTTTTGTTTGCGGATGACACCTCACTCTTGTTTAAGGTTAATAGGAAAGATGTTACATTAGAGCAACCAAATGAAATACTAAGTGTCGTTTCGGGCTGGTTTGCGACCAATAATTTACTTTTGAACGCCACTATGACTAAATGTATCAGATTTTCATCATCAAAGCTGTCTCACAAACCAGGAATCTTTATTGATGACAACATCTTACCTCTTGAGGATTCAACGGCAATCCTTGGAATATGCATTGACTCCAAGTTGCAATGGGGAGTGCTTTGCCATACGCAAGATCAGACAACTAACAAACGAGGCAACAGCTAAATTAGTTTATTATGCTTACTTTCACAGTATTATGTCTTATGGTGTCTTACTTTGGGGTTCCGCATCCGGTTTAGACACGATATTTGTACTGCAAAAGCAAGCGATACGGGCTGTCTATGGCCTGGGTCCACGTGAGTCCCTTCAGCATATTTTTAAAAAGATAAACATCTTAACGCTCCCGTCGCTATACATACTTGAGAACATCATGTATGTACGAAATAACTTACACCATTTTACAAAAAACATACCACATCGCGTCGGGGCCGTGACACGTTGGAAATACCGGGGTTTAGACTAGCTAAAACCAGGAAATCGTTTCTTGGGAGATGTATTAACTTATATAATAGAATAGGTGACATCCACAAACAATTAAGTTTAAATAATTTCAAACATTTTGTAAAAGCCACCTTAATGGAAAGGTCTTATTATAATGTCGAGGAATACATTGAGGACAAGGATGTGTGGAAATGACTCTTGCTCTGCACTTGCAAGTCCCCTGGCTCCTGCTAAATTATACTAAAATAATTTTGTGTGTATACTTAAATACTTAAAAAAAAATAGAAATAAAATATAAATATATGACCGCAGAGTTTCTTGCCGGTTCTTCTTTTGCAGGTCTAGTTTAGTGAACCGGTGGTAGTTTTTGACGTTCAATAAGAGCTTAAAATAAGCCTATGTTGAATAAAGACATTTTGACTTTTGACTTTTTGACTTTTTGACCAATGGTGCTAATAACCAAATAACTGCTTATGTAAGTACTCTCAACGAGGTTTTTGAAGTTACTACTACTTTTCATGGTATTACCATGCCAACCAATAACAACTTTTTGACATTTGCCTATAATTCAAAGTTATTTTTTTTTATGTGAAAAGTTGCCAAGCGAGCAGACAGTTATCTCATGTTAAGTGAATACCGCCGCCCATGGACATCCGCTGCACCGAGGGTTAGAGATGCCTTGACAGCCTTTTGAAAATTGGGCTCCGGCTACCTCACTCACCAGACGAAACGCGAAAGTACTTCCACTTTACGCCGGTCTTCTGTGAGGTCGTGGTACTTACCCGGACGAGCCTGCGCATTCGTGCAACAGCCGAGGCTGCTGCGTGGCCCTACCATTAAAAATTAAACCGAATAATAATAAATATTTAATTAAATCGTTATCAATTGCATTTAATGTCTTTTTCACAAATTAAAATACTTTGTAATATTACTTAATAACAACATAATACTTCGTAAAATTTAATTTGCACAAATTAAATTTTACGTGCGTACATAAGTACTCACAAACATTTTTTTTGTGAGGGTTTTTTATACAGCGTGTCTTTACAATCGCGACAATAAATGAACACGCATATAGAGGATACATTTTTAAATTGTATCAAACATTTACATTCTTTAAACATCAATATTTACTGAGTTATTAAATTTTCCAAAACATCAAATTTTAGAACACGTACGTATAAAAGTGTAACGTAAAGTACATTTGTAAAGGTCACAAAGCAGATGAATGGGTTGAATGAATTTGAAAGAAACAAAACATACTGTTAGAAGGAGAGGCTTGTAATGCGACGCTGTGGTAACGAATGAAAAAGTCTCTGAATGTATGAATAAGTCAGTTGTAGTTGTATAGGTGTTACTTTTTACTAAATTAGTTTGTTTGAAAACATTTTTTTTTAATGATAGGTTTTTTTAACGTTAATATTTTTTATGATTATTGGCAAGTAGCGTTAGACGTGTGTTCATTTATTGTCACGATTGTAAAGAGCCGCTCATTTATTTAGCCCCTAGCTACGACACTGAAAAGTTACGTCGCTGTAAAGGTATAACGCTATAAAGCTGCGACTCTGAGAAACTACGATGCTTAAAGCTACGTAGATAGCTATGCTGTAAAGCAGCGAAGTCTTACAGCGTCAGAGTTTAACAGCGGCGTAGCTTTTCGTCGACTAGTTTTTCAGCATCGTAGCTATGGATAGTCGTGGATCTACGGCGTCGTAGCTTAACGCAGTATAGCTGCGATACTGTAAAGCTACGAAGCTGTAAAGTTACGACGGTAATGTCGATGAATAGTGTCGTAGTAGAACAGATAGCTTAATAGACAGAGCTCCGAATATATGTGGCGACACTTACGTAATTTCAATACAGTACAGTTTGTATAAGGCTACGATGGCTGAAATTCAATACTCTTACTTATTTAGCAAGTTTCACTCAAATAATAAAGGCTCAAGCAGACATGGGTGGGTTTAAATTCATTCAAGCAGAGATGGGTGCGCAGGCCGTAGCAATTGCTACTCTTTCTACGTGGTTAATCCGGCACTGGATGTCCGTGCGATTACAGCCCAGTAATACAAAACCTATCCAACTGCTGAAGGGTGTATAAAAGGGCGATGTCATATCACCGAAACTCTTCACCGTTGCATTTGAAAATTATTTCAAGCATGTGGCGAGGCCACAAAGAACGTGTTGGTAACATATTACCTCACCCATCATCGATTCCCGCTTGACCTTGGTACTATGCTCAATGACCTCAACAGTGTTGCAAAACGTGTAAAAATGCACATGGACAAGACGAAGATCATGCCACGCCTATACCAGTTGATGCTGAGAGCACTGAGCTGTTATTGACGAGTATATTTACCTAAGCAGCTAGTTCGGTTAGGTAAGTATAACTTAGAGGCAGGCAGGCAATCACTTACCATCAGGTGAGCCTCCTGCTCGTTTGCCCCTTTTCTCCATAAAAAAAAAAAAAAAAAAAAAAAAAAAAAAAAAGACGTCAATCAGCGAACCCAACTGTGATGGGCACCGTTCGAGAAACTTCGGCATATATCTTCTCATCCAATCTCCCTCAATGTTCGAAGAGAATCAATGGGTGTTGCCAGTGATGACCTACGGAACCGAGACTTCGTCCGTCACTGCAGGCCGTGTGAGAAAGCTGTCGCTTAGCCAGCTGTCCTCCAGCCTAGACAGATCACTACTGCACATAAGTTCAGCAGCGGACTAGAAAAGAATATATATGATGATGATTTTATTTCTCGTACAGGCAGATGCAAGTTAATTAAAATTACAATTAATTTTAATCTATTGCTCAGAGAAAAGAAAAGAAACTCAGACATAAAAGAATTCTGTACTAATAATGTGGTTAAATATCAATGTGATACAATACAAATACATACAATACTTTTGGACTTTAAAAATAGATACCTTTTTTTTTTAAAAAAAAAAAAAAAAACAAATAAATACAAGTAAAAGTATGTTTATTGTTATCATCGATCAGAAAATAAATCACATGTACATTATTTGGTTATCAGCTCCAGCCAAACACGCTACCTGTCGCATGAATTTCTCAAATATTGGAATGTGATATATGAAATTGCGAAAATACTAGATTAGTAAATATTGCAGCCCTGTCTGTTTCGCTTTGTACTAAAATAATATTTAACTTCACATTTCAAAATTTCTATATCTATATGTCTATGCCTAGTACAGACCTTATAAATTCTATTGGAGCTTTCAGCTTGGTGTTGTTTTAAATAGTGAACAGTCTGCATAGCCAGTAAATCACAAATTTTATGGACTTTGTATTAAGATTTCGGGACACTGTCTCTTTGGGGTGACTTCATCTTCGGCCGGTTCTTTTCGCTTCAACGCCTTTTCTTTCTCCATCTCCTCGTTATCTTCATTATTTACATGTGATTTATCTTCTTCAGTCTTTTGTCCGGATTCCGTCTCTAGTCTATCACTCGGCGCCAGCTCACCGCCTTCATCTTCCTGCGGCTCCGAAAGGCTCTGCTTACCTTCCTCGAAGCAAGAGTCCTCCCCATTGTAGGCATCCTTGTCCATATAATCGCCATCATCGGTGGCCGCCTCCAATCTTTCCGCAGCCCTCTGCGAAGTCGAGTTCTGATTGCAGCTCACTGTTCTTTTGCTGCCAGCGATGCGGGCCGTGAGCGCTCTGTACAATTGGTCTATGTCGCCAGGGGCACCCTGTAGGAAACAATAAGTATATCCGTTAAGTATTATTATAAATTTTTCAATCCTTATTGTTTTTAAAGTGCTGATGAATCAATAGACAGGCATCTTAACACGCACAGTTAGCACTTTTTATATAATAGCTTCTGTGTAATTATTGTTAGAGATATCAAATAAGTATCAAAAAGTTGCCTCTAATAGCAACATTGGTTAATCAAATATTTTGCATTCTTCAAAAAGGCCTTTATGATTGATATGCCAAGATATTTAAAACAGTTAAATCAATTCAAACAAAATACTCCAAATTCATATGTTAGAACTAAATGAGCTTTGAGAGAGAGAGAGAGAGAGAGAGAAAATGAAAGTCACTTTACCGGATGATGTTTTCACTTTCAATGTTACTTACTCTTCAATTGGTCTTAAGAACAAGTGTTGACTTACCATAATGAGGTACAACTTAATTTGCAACTGGGCATCGACCGCTGTTATCCTTAGCGACTTCGCGCCTGCCCGCTCCACGACCATGTCGGGCCACAGCTTAGTATTGAGCACGACACGCAAGGAGCCCACCACGCGCACAACGAGGCGCGAACCGCTACCGGCAGTGGTTCCGCTCCCGCTCCCGCTGCCGCCTCCATTGCCACCCCCGCTGCCCGGCGCAGCATCGTTCAATCGCAGCACACCGCGGCCGCGTTCCCGCCAACTGCCCGCCTCCCACGCGAACAGACGGCAAGTTATCTAAAAAAGTACTCCAGTCAGTAACTCGTTCATGGGACGGTGTACACGCTTCTACAACAAAATTCCAGTTAATGTGCAAAGCCTATCTATTAAGAGGTTTAAGAAATTTATTAAAGCAAAACATTAGCGATAATAACCCCTGGGAATGAGATGATCGCACCTAAGCTGTTTCTAAATAAAAAAAATTGTACTGTATGACAATGTATTTCTTTGAGAAAAAAAAAAAGACAAATAAGAGGATACCTACGGAGTTTCTTTCGCCTGTTTCTTCTCCGTTAGAGGAACCTCATTACTAAACGGTGGTAGATTTAAACAATGACTATTGATAGATGAAATGTATATTTCTTATTTGGATGAATAAATAATTTGATTTGATTTGATTGATATTGAATGTTGCTATTACTATTTTATTATAAATAGCTCCGTGACGCAGTTGCAAAGGTGTTGGCTTCGGCGTCAGGGGTCAGGTTCGATTCCCAAATGGGACAACTATTTGCCTGACCCACAGATAGTTGTTTCCCATCTGAGTGTTTGTCCACTTGAAATTTATGTTTGTAAATTGTCCTTACAACAAAGGATAATGAACATGCGCTTTATGATGGAAGTACGTATTTAATTAAAGCTTCATAATTATTAACTACTTGTCACATCATTCTAACTTAATTTATAGAGAAATTCAGTAAATAGACACTGAAAAAAAATTCTGAGCCTACCTGTAAAACATTGGTTTCATCCTCTTCTCCAGTCATGGTGCAATTAGTTGTTGGTGGTGGTGGACGGGCATGAGATCGTTCATATTCAGCTGCAGCAGCTGCAAGGCCATCACTACTCTTTTCGCTTGGCCCTGCTTCCTCCTTTATGAACAATATTAAGTAATTTAGCTATGCATATTTATTTACATTAAATAAATAAATATCTAAATAATTACTGGACATCTAGTCCCAAACTAAGCAATGCTTGTACTATGGGTACTAGAAAACTGATAAACATACTTTCTTTTGTAAATGAATACATAATATACTATACTTATATAAACACCCAGACACTGGAATAACATGATGTTCATCACACAATATTTTTCCAGTAGTGGGGATCGAACCCACATCCTATGGCGCAAGAGGCAGGTTCATTACTCCCCACGCCATTCGGGTTGTCAAATTATATTATATTTTCCATATATATATAAACAAATGTATGTACATAATATGTTTTACCTGATTATTCTCCTTAACTGATGCGGCAGCATTTGTAAACAGCAACTCTGTGGTGCCATTTGAAGTACTATGTTCTGAGGATGATGCTTCACCATTGATGACAGATTCTACCATAACAACTCTTTCACTTAAGTTCTGTCCAAAAACAAATCCAGATGATGATGTAGTGGTAGTTGGTTGTGCTGGTGTAGGGGCAGGGTTTGAAGCCTTTGAAGTGGCTACACCGGAACCCAGTGGTACAAACTTTAGCGGTTCCACTTCTTTTTTCTCCAGCAACCTATCTATGGCTATTGTCTCAGGCTGTGTTTCTTTCTCTGTTTCAATTTCATCAGGGACCTCTGCATGCTTATAAAATGGATTTGCATTTGCTTTCAACTGTGGTGGACGTAAGACAGAACCTGGAAATAAAAAATATAATGATGTATGGGTTTATTTTATTTTATAAGTGTCTCATCAACTTTTGTCTTAAAAATACTGCCACACTAATAATAGAAAATAGAACATTCTTAATATGTTATGGAAAATCAAAAACATGCATGCTCTTCAGTTAAATCTTGTTTGCTCATTTTGTACTTAAATACTTTGAGCTTTTGATAGTACATATACCGCTTTGTTTAAGAACCCTGAAAACTTCTGAGGAACTTATTTTAATTTATAAAAATTAATTGTAATGATCAATATTGGAAGAACTCACCGAATGGATTGCAGCTTTTGTTGGAATTCGAACCGAAATTTGAGGAACCGAAACCACCGAGACGTGGTTTCGCCAATATAACCCGTGACTGGGATGATCCATTGTACAAATCTTCCGAAGTCGTTTTTCCTGATATTGCAATTTTAAATAAAGAGGTTATATGATACACGGCAAAATAATAAAATCAGAATAATATGACAAATCGACTCCACACATTTACATTCAAATTTCAGTGTGCGTATCATTGAAATAGAATATTATTAACATTCAATAACTTTTTGTTAAAATACTACCAGTATAAACTGTAAACTTTTATCGCAAGGATAAATAAATAATTAGGATTAAAGTTTAAAACTCTGCAATTCTTTGAATTTTTGATGATGTATGATCAACATTAGACGCATTCTTTTTTAACGTTCCACAAAGCACTTTTTAATAGTTATGAAAAAGAATTTACAAAGCCATAAAATAAAGATTGAAATTATTAAAATTACGTGAACTTCTAAGTTTATATGAAAATAAGTAATCATACCTTGCTTTGCCTCTGCCATTGTTGAATATTCGCATCCACAGAGAACAAAGTGTGAAGTGCGAAGAATTGACAACAAACCTTACAGGTTATATATAATATACAATGGTACAAATGAAAAGTGTATTTTCAAAATAATTTTGCAATTAAACTATTACTAAGATGATTATAGAACGGTGCCGTCTTGAATGTCTAATTCGAGGCTGGTGCTCAGTGCTGGATAGATACGGAAAGCTTTTACTAGTGGACTTTAATAACGTAAACTTCATGTACTCATTTAAATGATCATAACGACGCTTCTTTTCGCGTTTGCTATGCAATTTGGCATTCCGCACAAGCTACGGGAGCGAGCCACGGCGTAAAAATCGGTTTTGAACTACTTGAAGCGGTTTCAAGTGATTGACAACTTGCGTGAAACAAATTCTTGCTCGCGTAGTTCATTATAGGACATATACATTAGAAAGTTGGAACTTTTTGTCTTAGTGTCTTTTGACTAACTGTGAGTTTTGTCTCGCGTAACGTTTAGGTTTTGGCTTAGGATTGGCTTTGGTTGCTCATGGAATAAGTTGGTGGAAGTTTAACGGCAGGGAGGATTCTGTTCCGATAGTTTTACTCCTCCTCCGAGTTGATATTGATCCGCCACATTATGAACAATTAGTTTATAGCATTTAGTGCAGGTTTAAGCGAATAAATAATCCGGGCTTTGCAGTCGTTGGTTGTACTGTATCGGCTTATAGGGCCAACTTACCCTCCCCTTCGGCTTAGTAGCCGTGGCTTTGTTACCCATGACGAAGCTAAGAGGAACCCACACTGGGCTGACCTGTGGTGTAAGGCCGGCCCGAGAGGGCCACTCTGAATGTACCCACTCTGAATGCGTGCTGGAGGATGCAGGGGACAAGTCGGGGGTGGTAGAGGCGGAGCCACTCTACCTATTTTCTGCTACCGAGGGGGAATCGCGGGGAAGAGGAATGTCGGTATTGCGTTGGCCGCGCTCCCTATCCTCCGTGACTCGGCGGGGCTGCACCGCTGTTGCAGTGGTGGAGGGACCGCGGCGGAAGAGGAGTATCGGTATTGGGATGCGCCGTTCTCCCTACCCTCCAAGCCCGAAACGAGGCGAGCGGTGGAGCCACAGACCAGGTCCGCCACTGGGGGCTGGGAGGCTTGCTGCTTATTGGCACTGGCTCTTCTGGTTCCCATGGCCACTGGTCAGCGAACTCGGGGGAGTTCGTTGGCCGTGGCCCTTTTTCTCGGCGCACAAACCAGCGCGCCTTACCTGTAGGAGAAAGGAGTTTCTCCTCGGGAGATGGCTGCTGAGGCGGCCAGGATCACGGAAGTGTGCGAAAGCGTTCCGGTGACCCTGCCTTTATACGCCTAGGTGAGCGAGGTGAGTGGGGAACATCGTGGGGTCTTAGTCGGTGAGAATCCAACAGAACCCGTTCTTGTTGTGTAGGCATTTCCTCCACTTCAACAAAATAAGGGCCAACTTACCCTATTATCATCTGGGTTATCTAACCATCATCTGCAGAGCAGTTTTTGGGATTTTTAATTATGGACATAACCTAATCTGTTGACGTGTGCTCAAGAAGTGGGGCCGTTTTTGGATCTGCTCATCGACTTTCTACTTCCTCGTCTACCGATCAAACGGATGGTGACGATTGGACGGTGTTTGTGGCTTATTTACTAAGTGAGGATCGTAGTTTTAGGGCTGTTGGTAAGGCATTCGTACTTCTCCCCGTTTCTAATGCTTTGCCATCATCGAGTAGGGTGACTGAAGACATATAGGCGACGTTCTCTGATTTAAGATTTCTCACAGCTGGCAAAGGCGAATATGGGATGGAGAGATATCCTCCATCAGTTTCCCTTACGAGGGAAGTTATTGTTCATAAAACTTTTTAAATGATATGTCTGATACATTCATTAGATATACTTATTATGCAGACATGTTAAAAGTTCATCCGTGATAAATGTAGCCAGTCTCGTAAGAGGTATCAGTGATTTGTAGAAAGTTTTTATATTCAAACATAAATTAATCATTCAGCGGCTAAATTCACCCTTCCAGATTAATAAAGGATTTACAATAAATATCAAATGTCATTCGTGCCAACAGGGCTGCTGAATAAATTAAATAGTTAAAAAATTGCGGTAACACTAATGATGAATTGTCTGTATTCCCTAGATGATAAACTATATTAATATATTTATCTAGATATATGAATGTAGCGATGGGTCATTGAAGGTTGTTTCGTCAACTTAACGTTAACGTTGATTACTTTTCGTCAACTAGTCGATGAACTAGTTAAATTCTTCAACTAGCTAGCGTGACACTTTGTTAGTTTCCATGAACGAACGAATTTCCAAAAAAGAAACACCCTCAACATGAAGTAAAATTCTGATACAATTTATTTTAAGTCACAAAATAATCTCTGACCTTACGCGCAATTATCAAACAAGTTTTAGAAAGTGAATTTAAACATGTCGTTCTTAAAAGTAAAGAAGCAACTAATAAAAATGGTGCGACCGGTGCGCGAATTCTACGATCGTAACCTTTTCTAAAAAAATATGTCAAATAATTATTAACTTTTGACTACGTCGAATAGAGTTCAAATTTATTCTTTGACATGATTTGTGATAATAATTTCAACGCAAGATTTTCAATTTATTTAGTTCGTTACGTTTGCCTTCTTAGAATCGATTTTATAAAACAGTATAATTTCCTAAATTTCGTTGACGAATTCAATGACCTGATTTCATAGAGGGTTGACGTTAACAGGATCGTACTTCATGGCAGTCTATGGGGGAGGCCTATGTTCAGCAGTGGACTCAAACAGGCTGAAATGATGATGATGATGATGACATTAACACGTTTACAAGAGGTGAACCGTTGATTTAACTAGTACGTTGATTCAACGCTCATCACTAGTTGAATGACATTGAACGTTATGTCAATTGTCAATTGTCATAGAAACTCCGTAAAGTGAAGAATGATTACATGTGTATATTTGTTTGAATATTTTTTGAGATATCCTTGTAATTATAATACGTTTTTATTAATTATTTATAACTATGTTATGTTTGTCTATTTTATAGCAACTTAAACATAAGATATTTTTGTTAAACAACTCTATTTGTGAATGTTTTAAAGTTTATTGTTATACGATGGTGCAAAGTGGAAAAGTGAGAAAACAGTTACATTTAATTGATTTTTAGCCCATATATTTATAGAAGAATAGTTCATACTAAGGTAAGAAACTAATAATATTCATGCCTTATCTTAGAAATGTTTAGCTGTTGTAAAAATGGTTTATATGCAATGTTGTACTTTTATGTTGTATTTTATATACTTTGGGTATTAGAGTATTCATTTTTAACGATAATTTAATCTTTATATTAACTATAAACCGTATTATAACTATTAACCGTATTTAAAATTTGTGATTATAGGAACAATAATAAATTATTTCTATCATGGGTTATGGAATCGTTGAACCAATCTTTATAATATATTTGTTATATATTAGTTATGTAAAAATTGTATTTAGAATGATTTATTACATTGGTTTTATAAGAAAGTTTATCAAGACAAACAGTACATTAAATTATTCAAGCACATAATTTGTGACGCTTTATATTTACTTCAATTATATTTAACAATTTCTTTTTTATTTGATACGAACATAATATAATATTCAGTCATTTTAAATCAATAACTATTTCAGAAATATTTAATCATAATATAATCTGTATAATCTCCAAGTCTAAAGAAGTTTCTCAAGATCTACATCTATATATTGTCAATATAGTGACATGAAATCTTAACTACAATATGTTGATATTACAGGAGACGAAAAAAACTTTTAGTAAATTGTGTCTTGATTTTTTTAATTTTTGATTTTAAAGTAAATTTTTAATTAAATGAAGGCGAATTTAATGTTATTACAGTACTTTCAGTACCATGTTGAATTATCGAATTATTATTATATAGGTAAAGGCTATTGTTTTCTATCATGGCAAATTATAATCATTCATAACCAGAAGGGAAGGTATTGCAAATAAATACTGTATATAATGTTTATAGCTTTATTTCAAATTAATAATTATTTAAAATTAAAGGTGTGGCCGTCATGTGGAAAAAACTGATTTTAATTGCTATTAAGTGATTATTTGGTGGCCATTATGCGGATTTTATGTTTATGCCGTTGAGGATAAATTACATTTACTAATACTTTCAATCTTATTTCTATTGGGGCCCATTCCTCATCAAAGTTCAATTTGACTTCAATAGTTATTCCGTGGCATTGGATGGCTCTTATGTCTACAACCTGGGGTTTACCATCCTCGATCGTATGATACTGATAAGGGTGCTCATAAAGTCAATATTTCGAAGTTTATCTGTAATTCTTGGGAATTAGGCCAGATCGGGACTGTATGGCAGATGACTCATTATTTCGACACCTGCAATATACAAATAATATATAAGTTGTTGTGGTGAAGGATCCTGCTTCTAAGACGTTGCTGTCAAACATTTTCAAAGACAACAGACAAACTACAGCTAACTTACCAGTCTGCAATATCTGTAAATCTTGCAGCACAACTATCGCGAAATGATCTTTTCGGCCAAAGAACAAGGCAATCAACTTTTTCCCTTGACTTGTTCCTTTCTTTACTTTTGTTGGCCGATCCTCAAAAGGAAGGGTTTGTAGCAAAAATACAGTTTTCATTACCTGTGACGATGTCAAGTACAGAATTAGAGTCACCTCCATTGAACTTTTAACATTTTGCGACCCAGTGGTGGATCCACCAGCAGGCTAAGTAGGTTAGACCCTAGGGCGGCAGATTTTAGGGGGCGCAAATGAGTCCCAAAATGTTTTCTCTTAAAGACACAGAGAAAAACATATGTAAGGTACACAGAGAAAACGAGTCTTGAAAATTTAACAAAAATTTTAATATTTTAGTACTGTATAGTACAATAAAGTCTAACGCCTATATATGAACTATCGCTAAACTCTTTGTGAAATATATTTT